ACTAATATGGAAATATGTTTTGCAAGGAGAGATAAAAAGAATTTGGAACTCAAAACTTAAAAAAAAAACAATGAATGTTAAGTTATTTTTACATATAATTGGAGGAAAATAAAATATTTAAAAAGGAAAAAAAAGAAATACATGATAATCCTGATTTGGTAATTCCCTTTGTACAACCCATGTGATCTAATGCAATTCACTTAATCTCCTTGGCCTCAGTTGCTTCCTTTATAAAATGTCAGAGTTGGTCATCAGAGGTGTCAAATTCACTAGGAGTGAGGCCTGAGGCAGATTTAAATGTAATTGAGAAATATTTAACAAAAGAAGTAAAAACACAATACAACATAGATAATGTTAATTTGTGGTTTTCTGAGCCATATACTCCATAGGAATCTGTTTTTATTTGAATTTGACTCTACTGGTCTAGATGACTTCTCTCAACTCAGTTCCAAATCTATGATCCTCTTACCTACAAGGAAAGGTCTCTAAGGTCCTGTCCAACTCTCAGTTCTATGAAACCATTCCTCTGTTGTGTCTATCTTTGTACGTCAGCTCTGAGTATAGTACATTGCACTTTTTTATTCCCTATTTCAAGGCCTGTCAAGTTCACCTTTGCAGCATCTCCCAAATATGCCCCTTCTCCCCTCTGGCACTCTAGTGCAGGCCCTCATCACGTCATGCCCGGAGTACTGCAATAGCCTGCTAGTAGGCCTGCCTGCCTCAAGTCTCTCCCCACTCCAGTCTATCTTCCATTCAGCCACTAACATGATTTTCCTAAAACACAGGCTCCATCATGTCACCTCCTTCATGAGCCCAATCAATAAACTGTAGTGGCTCCCTGTTGTACCCAGAAGCAAATACAAAATGCCGTCTGACATTCAAAACATTTCATAACCTAGTGCCGTCCTGCATTTCCAGTCTTCTTACACCTTACTCCTTGACATGTACTCAATGACACTGGCTTCCTGCCTGTTCCACGAACAAGAACTCCTACCTCTCAACTCTGGGCCTTTTCTCTGGCTGTCTCCCATGCCTGCATCATTCTTCCTCCTTTGCCACATCTGCTGACCTCCCTGCTTTCCTTTAAGTCCCAATTAAAATCTGGTCTCTTACTGGAAGCCTTCCTCAATCCCTCTTAATTCTAGTGCCTTCTCTCTGTTAATTATTTTCTATTCATCTTGCATGTAGTTTGCTTTGTATATATTTGTTTGCATGTTGTCAGCTCCTTGAGGTCGAGGATTGTCTTTTGCCTCTGTATCTCTTGATGTATAGTAGGCATTTTGTAAATGTTAATTTGTTGATTGAATTGCTTTAATGTTCTCTAATGTGGCCCTCCCTCTCAAGTTTGTGGATTGTGACTCAAATAGCTGGGGGCCTTCCTTTAGGTATTTTAACATGGCATGGGTACTGATGTAGCCATCTATTTATTCTTCTTCTCTCTTACTATATGTTCTGTCCATCATCTTTTTAGAGCATACATCTCTTGGATGTCACTTTTCACTCTTTGTGGGTTTCTTGTATGTGAGCCATCACTGGCAGCAAGGTGGCAAAGTGGATAGAGCGCTGGGCCTGGAGTCAGAAGACCTGAGTTCATATGCGGCCTCAGATACTATGTAACTCTGGGTAAAACGCTTAACTCCTGGTGCCTCAGTTTTCCTCAATGGGGATAATAATCAAGGCCTTTCCTAGGATTACTGTGAGAGTCAAATGAGATAATATTTGTAAAGAACTTAGCACAGTGCCTAGCATACAGTAGGTGCTTAGTAAACCCTTATTCCTTTCCCCCACTGGTAACATGCTGCAGCTTATTTATGCGCATCTCCATTGACCTTTTAGTTACTCATGATTTTAAGTCTTTGGAGACTGTGGCCTTTTTCCAGCAGATTTTGGAAAATGCAGAGGGTGGGATATAACCCAGGACTAAGGTTTGATAGGACAGAGGATAAGGTATAATGGAACCGACCAGCCACAGAGTCAATTATGCAAAGATTACATGATAACTTTATTATATATTTAAAAGTAATAGCAAGTTGTACATAAAAAATTTGCACATATAGTTTTATATATATATAGTTCATGTGCAATCATCTTTTTTATTATACTGCTTTTGTTATGTTATATATTATATTAGATATTGCATAATATATTATGTTATATTACATGTTATACTATGTTACGGAATTGCTTGTTTCATTCCATAAATTAAAAATAAAATAAAGTAATTAATAAACACACACACACTATATACACAGATTGTGCAGGGATGAAAGTGAGTCAGAGCATGAGTGATGAACTAGGAGAATAGAGAGGAGTGGAGGACACATTGTTGACACTATTCTACATCTCTAGTTTATAAGTATCATAGTTTTATGAATTCCATAAATTCAGCAAATGTGTATTATGTAAACTTTGTGTCTCCATGAGTGGCAGTGCTCCAGACACAGTGGATACTTAATAAATATTGTTTTAATTGAATATGTGCAAGAATCGCTGAATCATAGAATTCTGAAATCTGAAGGAACCTCAGTGGTCATTTGGTCTAATTCATGCCCACAAGGCATAACCACTATAACAGATATGATAAGCTGTCATCCAGCTTCCACTTGAAGGCCTCCAATGTGAGGGAACCTGCTATCTCCTGAGGCAGTCCATTCCACTTTTGGACAGCTCTAGTTAAGAAAATATTCTGGATATCAGGCCTAAAATTTTCTCTTTGCGTCTTCCCAGTTTCTTCAATTGATTCTCATATGACATAGACTAAAGGCCCTTCACCATCCTAAACACTCTCTTCTGTAGACTCTCCATGTTATCAAAATCTTCCTTAAACTGTGGTGCCCAGAACTGGAGATAATACTCCTGATGTGTTATGATCAGGGCAGGATACAAAGTCAAGATCATCTCCTCATTCTTGGAAGCTATGACTCTCTTAATGCAGCCTGAGACTGCACTACCTATTCTGGCTGCTGTAGTGAACTGTTCATTAATTTTGAGTTAGCACTTTGGAACAGCTAGGTGGCACAGTGGATAGAGTGCCAGGCCTGGAGTAAAGAAAACTCATCTCCCTAAGTTCAAATCTGGCCCCAGACACTAGCTGTGTCACCCTGGGCAAGTCACTTCCAGTGTCTTTGCCAAGAAAACCTCAAATGGGGTCATGAAGAGTCAGATATGACTGAAACAACTGAACAAGAACAAAAGCACTTCACTAAAAACCTCAAAACTTACCCCACAAAAATTGCTCTTTAGCCATGCCTCCCCTATGTGGTACTGATGAAGTTGATTTTTTGAACCTCAATGTAAGATTTTCCATTTATCCCTATTGAATTTCATCTTTCCTGATTCAGCCCAGTGCTTTAGTGTACTGATATCTTTCTGTGTCTTGACTTTATCATCCAGCATACTGAATGTATCCAGTATATTTTTTATCTTGACTTTGTCATCCAGTATATTTTTCCCAGCTTCATGCCATCTTCAGCTTTGATGAGTGTATCATCTTGCCTTTATCCAAGTTATTAATGAAAAAATATCAACTAGTTCGGGTCCTAAGATAGATATGTAAGGCACTCTACTCCCAAGCTGACATTGAATCATTTTACAACTACTCTGAATCTGGTAATGCAATCGGTTCCAAATCTATCTAGCACACACCTCTCAATCTTCTTCCATGAGAATGTTATGAAACACTTTTATTGAATATTTTGCTGACATCTACATAAACTCTATCTACAAGCTTTCCACTGAGCTACCAGTTTAATAAATCTGTCAAAAAAGTGACAGGAGAGGAGGGATATTCCATGTATATAAGACAGGGTAGGAAGCCATGGAGGCAAAAGAGATCCTGACAAAGCTCTTTAGGAAGACTTGAGGAGATAGAAAACGCTTTTAACTGTTGCTGGTCCTCTCGAAGAGACCGATGACGTCAGGAGGATGGTGTCTTGATTTTCAAGTGACTTGGATGTAAGTGAGGCAGAGCTGTGCAGTCATCAGCCTCATTCTCTCCTCCAGTATCGTCAGAGTCCAGGGGCAAGATATAAGTCAAGACAACTGGCGATGGCCCAGGATGTAGTGGGAGGCCTTGGCCTTTTTAAGCTAAGGTCTTTCCCAGGTCTCAGTTTGTCTGAAGGCAAAAGCCATTCGGTAATTAAAGGCTAGGTAAGAATGGAAGCAAAAGATGGCCTTGTTTGCCTTTATAAAGAATCAATCTGGGAAGAGATAAGAAGGTAGACCACACTTTTAACTGGAAGAGGAAGGGAAGAGGTGGGAGCAAAGAAAGCCATAGGGAGGACATGGGACCTGAGTAAGGCTTGAAGCAAGAGAAAGATCATGAAAGGTTATGAAGGAAGGAGTACATTTCAAGCACTAGTTGTCCCCCATGATGCCTGCAATCCTCTCCTTTCTCATTTCCATGTTTATTTCTCCCATCACAATATGGAAGCCTTGAGAGAGTCGGTTTTTGTCTTTGCATCTCCAGCTCTCAGCCAAGTGCCTGCCACATAGTATACATGTAATAAATTCCTTTTTGATTGATTGATAGGTAGCCCCTTCAGACTTATACACCTTTCACTTACTGAATGGAGGTATTCATTCTTGATAATGGCTCATCATTCACATAATGTCTTTGTACTTTAACAAACATTCCTCAGTGTCTTATTGGAAAGAATAAACACTGTGTCTAGCATTGAGAGAGATACTTTTAGGTTTTTGGATATCCTCCAATTGTACCATTTGGGTATGTGATATAGGGAAAAAAAGACTCCAGATCTAAGAGTCAGGACACCTGGATACCAGGGTGGGTGCTGACACTAACTCTCTGTGTGACCCCAGGTAAGTCACTTTCTTCTTTCTGGGTCTTTGTGTCCTCTAAGGGTCTTTGGTCCTTTCCAGTGCTAATATTCTATAATTCTGTCCCTATTGTGGAGCTCTGGTGCTGCCCACTGGTAAATAATAATGATGAGTCTTACTCGTGTACTTGTATGAAGAAGGGAGGGGTGTTCCATGCTGACCTTTCCTGGAGCCACAGATGCCTCCGATGACATTTTGCCTCCAGAAGTCTGCTGTGCATGCACGTTTTCATCATTTACTACCATATTTTGAAAAGAAAAGTTTTAGCATTTAATCCATGGTGAAAGTTCATCCTCTGTTCCCTGAAATAGAAAAATACCTTGAGACTATTTAAAAATAGTTTTGAGGTAAATCTCGAATTTTAACAGATCAGATAGCATAGAAGCAGCTGGTATGGTGGGAAAAACATTGGCTTTATAATCAAAGGACCTGATAAGTGTAAAATGATATCTCAAGGTTCTCTTAATTTGCATTATTTCTCTAATCAATAATGATTTAGATCATTTTTTCCTATGGCCATAAATTGTTTTGATTTCTTTATCTGAAAACTGCTTGTTTATATCCCTTGACCATTTACCAATTGGGGAATGACTTGTATTCTTATAGATTTTCCAAAGTTCTTTATATATTTGAGATTTGAGACCTTTTTTGAGAAACTGTCTATAAAATTCAGCCCTCCAATTTTCTGCTTTCCTTCTGATCTTGGCTACATTTGTTAAAATTAAAAAAAATTATAATCAAAGAATCTGAGTTTGAATCCTGACTTTGACATTTATTAGCTATGAAACATTGGGTAAATCACTTTATCGCTTGGGGCCTCAGTTTCTTCACGTGCAAAATATGAGGTTGGATTAAATGTTCTGAGGTCTCTGATAGCCTTCAAGTCCCATGGTTTTATGATTCTATGACCTATATTAGAGTTTTAGGCCTCTTAGTTACCCTTGAGGTAATCTTGGGCAATGTCACCTCTTTCAGCCTCAGTCTTCTCATCTAAGAAACGAGAGGGCTGAACTAGATGTCCTTGAAGGTCCCTTGTAGCTCTAAAATCCCAGGGCCTGGATTTGAGTCCTGGCTCTGGAGTTACCTCTTGGGTAGTCTTGGCTAAGTCATTTATACTCTGTCAGCCTCAGCTTCATCATCTAAGGAGAGGGTCAAACCAGATGGCCACTTAATATATTTTATTGATAACTTTTCTTTTTATATCCCTTTTATTTCACAACATTCTTCCCTCCTCCTGTAAGAGAGCTGTCCCTTATGTCAAAGAATAAAAGAAGGGACAGAACAGATCTGCAAAATCAACCAAGTCTGACGTTACATGCAATGTTTCACCCCTGTAGTCTCTACTTCTATAAAGGCTCAAAGTGAGTGAGGTGCCTCTTCATTTCTTTTCTTTGGGGCCAAGCTTGATGAACATAATTTCACAGTGTTTGGTATTGATTGTTCTGTTGTTTGTTCTTTCAATTTACATTTACAGTCACTGTTCACTTTGTTTCCTTGGTTCTGCTTATTTCACTTTGCATCAGTTCATTTGTCTTCTTGTGTTACTCTGTATTCAGTTGTATTCATTGTTTCTTAGAGCACATTAGGAATATGTTTTTTCTTGGCTCCACTCCTGACTGTCTGGACTTTCTCACCCTGGAGATTCCTCTAACTCCCTTCTCCCACCTGGGACCACTATTTTGGGAAGCACTCATGCTATCTATCAGTGCTCACTTGTCTCCTAGCTAGGCTCCTGACTCCAGCCTCATTGTGCAATATACTCCTTTCCTCTTCCCTTTCCCCTTTTTATGTGTTATCTTCCCCATTAGAATGTAACATCTTTGAGAGCAGAGATTACCTTTTTTCCCTTCTATTTCTAGTGCTTGGGACAGAGCCTGGTGCATAGTAAGAATCTAATGGATTCTCTCTCTCTCTCTCTCTCTCTCTCTCTCTCTCTCTCTCTCTCTCTCATATTACATTAATGTACCACAATTTCTTTAGTCATTCCCCAATTGATGGGCATTTCTTTTGTTTAAAATTCTTTTTTACTAAAAAAAAGTGCTGCTATAAATATTTTGGAACCTTTCTTTTGTCATTGACCTCCTTGGGGTACATGCCTTAAAATGGGACGATCGTTGAGTCAAAAGGTATGGACGTTTTGGACTGGATGGTCTTAATGGCCCCTCCCAGCTTTTACCCCCATCCACTTGGTACCTCAGACTTGGTAAAGCTTTCTTGAGCCACAATCAAAGGTTCAGTCTTTTCAATTTGATGGTTATTTTTAGGCACACTAATATTCTCCCTTCTTGTAATATGTTGTGCAATAGATAGGCACAGGGAACACATGTTCCTATTCTGCCTGGACACCTGGACTACATATATCTTCTTACCACCACAGGAGGGTAAAAGAATTAAGTGTCAGCCCAATGGGAACAAAATCTGGCCTCTGTTCTTCATGCTAAAAATAAAAGAAAAACTCAATACTTATTAGCTTGGGTGCAAATTGGCTGAGGGATTGTGTCCACATGCCAGAGTAACTGCACCAGGGGGACTTATCACTTGATCTGTCAGAGCCTCAGACGTGTTCACATTTGGTCACAGGATATTCTCCAGTGAGCCAAAACCCATGACGCCGCAATTTGGGAGGGATGCACAGGCACAACTGCCCAGTGGGCTTACGTCTCTCCCCCCCCCCCCGGACAATGAAGTCTTTTAATTATAATTAAAATTAATAATAAATTAATTTTTAAAAGAATTATGTGCAAATGCCTGGATCTGAAGTTTGACTAACTTTTCAGTTTCCCTTGTATCCCTCATCTTACTTGTGTGAGGTAATGTTGGGTCAAGAAAAGACCATTGGATTTGGGGAAGCAGGACCCAAGTTAGATTCCAAGCTCTGCAGCTGTAACTAGCAATTTTTGCATGGGGCAAAAGGCATCAAATGCATCCCTAGGGAAGTGGCATGATATACACTGGGAGTTCACGTGGGGTGCAGCTACCACGGGGAGAGGTAGGAAGCCTCTGCTATCTAGCAGCTTCCTATTTTAATTATTTTTGCTAACTAGGTGCTAAGCTCAGTTATTACTACACTGCTGAAGGACTTCAAGCACTGTCGGTACCCTTTAAATTTTGGTGCCCTGGGACAAAGACCCCATCATCTCACCCTAGTCGTCCTAGACTTCTTATTATCTCCCACCCCACCAAATTCAGTCTGTTGCCAAGACCCGTCAATTTCACCTCTGGAACATCTCATAAATACTCCCCCTTCTCTCCTCTGACATCGCCAGCGCTCAGGTGCAGGCCCTCATCAACTCACATCTTGATTATTGCAATAACCTGCTGGTGGGTTGGCCTGCCTCACGTCTCTCCCCACTATGATCCATCCTCCATTTAGCCTCTAAAGTGATTTTCCTGAAGTACAAGTACAGTCATATCATCCTCCCACTCAATAAACTCCGGTGGCTCCCTATTGCCTCCAGGAGCAAATACAAAATGCAGTTTGACATTCAAAGCCCTTCATTGCCTTGTCCTCTCCTACCTTTCCACTCTTACACTTTACTCCCTGACAAATACTCTTGAATCAAGTGACGCTGGCTTCCTGCCTGTTCCACGAACAAGAAACTCCATCTCTTGGCTGTGGACATTTTCTCTGGCTGTCCCCCATGCTTGGAATGCTCTCCCTCCTCTGCTCCAACTACTGACCTCTCTGGCGTCCTTTAAGTCCCAGCTAAAATCCCACCTTCTACAGGAAGCCTTCCCTAATCCCTCTTAATTCTAGTACCTTCCCTTTGTTAATTCTTATTATTTCCTTTTTATCTTGTATATAGCTGGCTTTGTATATATTAGTTTGCTCATCATATCCCCCATTAGATTGTAAGCTTCTTGAGGGCGGGGACTAATTTTTGCCTCTTTTTGTATTCCTAGTGCTTAGAAGAATGCCTGGTCCACAGTACACAATTAAATATTTACTGATTGATTGATAGCTACTGTCCTTTGGGGAAGTTATTTAATAATAATGATGACAATAATAGCTAACATTTATATATCACTTACAGGTTTGCAAAGTACTTTGCACATGTTATCTCTTGATTTTCTCCTCAATACTGTAAGGTAGGTGCTATTATTATTCCCGCTTTATAGATGAGGAAACTCTTGCCAAGTAGCCTGCTCAGGGTCACATAGGTAGGAAGTGTCTGTGGAACAGGTCTTTGTGATTTCAAAAGCTGAGACACAGGTCTTCATGATTTTTGCATTCAGTACTCTGTCCATTAGGCAACCCAGCCTTAGTTTTCTTATATGTAAAATAAGGTGGTTGGGCTGGATTAGGGGTTCTTAACCTGGGGTCCATGGAAATAATGCCTCCAAGGGGTCATGTATAGGTGTCAGGAGGTCCTTAAAAACATTTTTACAACTCTATTTTGATATTGTTGGTTTCCTTTGTAATCTGAAGTATTTCATTTTATGCACTGAAGAAAAAGAATGATTCTGAGAAGTGGTCCGCAGACTTCACCAGGCTGCCAAAGGAATCCGGGACACACAACATAATCAGGAATCCCTTTACCAGATACCCCTTTAGTCCTTTGTCAGCTTCCAATTCTAGTCTGAAGTATCTAGAAATGTAGTGAAAGAAAGGGAGTAATGACGAAAAGAGTGGATCTCACAAGGTCCCACTTCCTCTCCTTCCAAAGAAAAGATAAATTAGGTCTTGTCTACCTATAGAAAGACATTACCACCTTCTTAGTTTCACTTATACTGGAAGCTTCCTGGTTCAGACTTCTATCAACTCTTGCTGGGACTATTATAATAGGCTCCTAACTGATCTTCCTGCCTCTGCAGTCTATCCTTCACACCGTTGTCAAAATAATCTTCTTCAGTACAAAGCCTGATCATGTCACTCTTCAGATCAAAAGTCTTCAGCGACTACCTGTTGTCTGTAGAGTACAATATCAGTTCCTAGCCCCTGGCACCAACGTCCCCTGGCTCCTTTTCCTCCTTATTTCATTCTACTCTCTTTTGCACATTTGACATTCTTGCTAAGTGGTCCTACTGGCTGCTCCTCCATTTTGCCTGGTTGTCTTCTGCATCTGTGCATTTGTATAGTACAGTCTTGAAACATACTGCCTCTACCTCGTCATTTGAGGAAATCTTTTTTTTCCTTCAAGGCACAGCTCCACTGAAGAGGTCCTCCCTGAATTCTCCCCACTGAAAGCAATTCTTTCTCCTCAAATTTGCTTATATCCCTTTGTCTGGAAGCTTCTCCTCCTTCCCTCCTCCCCCCATGACGTTCTGTCTTGAGCAGTTGTGTATATTATGTGTATTCCCT